CAATATGCGTTTTTGCTGCCTGTTGCAGCGCTCTAGCGCTGCACGGCAAAAACGCATAAAAATCATGCCAGTACTGACAGTGATGTCAATCAGTGGAAATTTTTGGCAAAAGATACAACGCGTGCTATTTTAGTGCCCTTCTATCTTTCGAAGAATTTTAGAATACTTTGATTTTTCTAAATAAAACTTGGAAATACGATATTTGTATAAAAACGTTTTGAGCGAATAAACATAAGTATAATTAATAAATAAACAATGGCGCATATAAATACGATCATAGAATGACAAAATGCTACTGCTCGAAAAAACCGCTACGCTGGTTATCCTTTTAGGAGACTTTGGGAGAAAAAGGGAAATAACAGTATCGCTTGACAAGGTGACCAACAGTCGTTGCAACATTGTTGCAAAAGAAAGAAGGTGTGCTAGCAGCAAGGTAACGAAGATGGGAGCTAAACACACTTCGTCTTGCCCAGTTGCCCTTCGGTTCCCTGTGATATGCAAATGTCCCGTCTCTTGACTCGAGTTCCCCCTCCACGATATTTAATGTGGTGATTAGAAACGAACTTGAAATTGTTTTGTGGACTAAAAAATTGTGTGGTGGCAGCTTGGAGCTGCTGCCGGTTTATTTCGTAGTTTGTTTGTTTTCTTGATTTTTTTTTTTTTTTGATTCTATGCTGCTTTGCTAATAAAGAATTGTTTATTAAGTTGGTGTGCGTGCCCTCCACAGTTGCACCCCGCACAGGCTCTCCTCGTTACACATCAATTATATCATATATAGTAATCAACTAAGAACCACACTGTAGACTGTATCTGATCCAGAAAAGTGTAAGTAAAAAAAAAAAATAAAGAAAAAAATATGAGCAGAATTACCAATGCAATTTTACCTCGTCATAAAAAATATCCCAGTCAATTGTGACAGCTAAATTGAATGGTACCACGATAAATATTAAGTGGAAGTCCGAGGACAATATAATACCCTGAAAAATAAAAAAAAAGGTTCAGGAAGGCAGGACAATTTTGCTAAATAAATCAAGCTTGATAAAATTTTTCACTGAATAATAAAATTTTTTTATAATTTTCACTGAATAAAACACTGAATAATAAAATTTTTCTAACTGAAAAAAGATTTCACTGAATAAAATTTCGCTAAATAAAATTTTTCACTGGAAAATACTTTTCACTGAGAATCATTAAAAATGTGCATACTAAATAATTGCAGTGTAAAATGCTTCATTTCAGGAAGCTATTGAGAGAAATGTGCATATACTGAATCAAAAAAAAATCTAAAAAAAGCAGTACTCTGTTCAAATTGTCCAGCAATGAAGAGCATATTTTTTGCGCTGTACACGGGGGCAACGAAGCCGAAAAAACAGCTACTCCCAACATTGACGCTGAATACTTCTCATCCTGTAATATTCACAAGTATTAGAATCGCATAATAAAACAAAATCAAAAATCAAAATTCTCTTCGCAATGACATTTCAAGAAGAAAAAGGCGCACAAAATCAGTCTGACTAGTAGGATGTGTTAGGTCCTCATCTGGTCCTGGACTGCAGCAGCAGAAGACAGGGAAGAATGCCAGCACTTTATTTCCCAACAAAGAGCTTCGCTTCAAATAAAACGACGAGCTGGGGCACCGCGCAAGCTGTTCAGCAGAAGGAGGACGCTGGTCGTACTAAAGGGCAACCAGTTAGCAGCGTTAGTTGAGGCAGGACGTAGCGGACCAATGATTCCGAAAACTAAGAGCGTGGGTTTTCAGAAGGGGTTTATATAGGGAAAATTAATGGAGGGGAAAGGACAGCAAGGTAGTTAGTAAGTGAGAAGTAATATGGAATTATTTAGAATTTGGTGGAACTGTTAGAAATTAGTGAGTGGAGGGAAGTAGGTCGAAGCGTTAATTAGTGAGGAGAGCGGAACAGGTTGAATTACAGGGTTACACATGTGCTAACATTAAATACCCTCTGTCAGGGTTGTCGATGGCTGTCTATTCCGAGCATAGGCGGATCCAGACCGGCCTCCTAGACAAGGGGGGGGGGAGGGGTGGGAAGGAGGGGATTTTTATCCTCCTCCGTTCGTCCTTACAGCGGAAGGACCTACGTCCTAACGAATCGTAGAGGGATTGGTTGCCAAACTGGTGGGTTTATACACATTCATTTTTTGTAAAATCGTTGCATTTTTCTAGATAAAATAGTCAAATTTCAATGTTCTCACTATAAAATCTAACAGTTTTCGGTGACTCTGGATGAATGAGGAATAATTCTTACAGTATCGATGCAGATCAAATCATGATTTTTGAGATAATCCAAGGTTTGTGCCACTAGCTCTTTACTGTTTTCGTTCTGTATCCCAAACAGTGTTTTTTGTACGATACATTCTAATTCTTCTTTTGTTCGCGCTATCTAAAATGTAAATTTTCAAAGCAAGCTATTTATTAACAAATGAAAAAAGAATCAAAAAATCACGAATTTTTAAGCACATGAATTTTTACATATTTTTGCCTCAATCAGCGCAAAACGCGTATATTCTAAATGACTGGTCATTCAAAGATGGACGCTAATAGATAGCCATGACAGAGAAAATGATGGAGCGAAGGATGATTGGCATATTTCTCCGCTACTGTTTAAATAAATAATCAGATTCTTTGTCAAATGAAATGTAAACGACTTAATAGGCCGAAACATTTCTTACCATTACCACAATTTTAATAATTTTACAACTTTTACTAATTCCTTAACATTATTTTCTCTTTTATTCTTGTTCGTACTACAAAATATGTTTCTATTTATTTTGCAAATATACGAACCGAAGTGTTGGGATGCGACCGTGATGCATTGTCATTAATGAAGTATGTGCGCTGATGGTTGCAAAAAAATCGTGATTGCATAACTGGCAGAACTTTGTCAAACCTTTAGGAAAATCAAATCGAGCAAGAAAGATGCGAACAGCGAAGGCTCACTCAGCGAACTTTTGCAGTCCAACAAAGGTCCACTGATCATTTCCAAAAACTGAAAAACAACAAGAACAATTTTTAGGGTAACAAAACAAACGAGTTGGCAGCGCGCCAAAAAGTAGCAGGCCACATGATTTAATAAATTAAGGGAAATAAAAAAAATCAAATCAAAAATTTTTAGGGTAACGGAACAAGCGAGTTGGCAGCGTGCCAAAAAGCAGCAAGCCACACAACTTAATAAATCAAGGGAGATAAAAAAAATCAAGTCAACAATTTTTAGGGTAACAAAACAAACGGGTTGGCACGGTGCCAAAAACTAACACGCCACATAATTTAATAAGTCAAAGGAGATAAAAAAATCGAGCAAATGCCTTGGTTTCCTGGGTACCCGGATGCAAGATTGTCACTGCTTCGCCTATACAATCATATCCAGCTC